GAAACCCGAATATTACATACCGTAAATCATTATCAGAAAACACGATCAGCTTTTCGAATCGTGAGTACATTGTGTTGTCGCTAGCAAAAATAGAATCCCGTTGGAAATCCTATTTTCTCGAATCGGGTTGGACGTCAAGCGCCATTGGTGTTCGAAACGAAATTGTATTAGAGAGGCATGAAAATAATGCTCCGGTTCCAGGCTTATATTCCGATGCTTATAGCTTTTATAATATTTTATAATTTGTTCTTTCCTTTCCTTTCTTTCTTCTTTTTTTTTTTTTTTTTTTTTATATTACGTATGCATGGAATATGCGATGATCCTGAGAAATTGAATTAAAGAGGATTTGGTACATCGTATATATTTCCAAGTGAATTTTCCAGAGAAAGGAATTCGTGTAATTTTTTAAATGAAATATACAGTCTCATTTATTAAGGAGTTATGCTCTAAATCCTTTTTTAAGCTGAAGCTCTTTCATTTTTTTTTTTTTTTTTTTTTACTTGGATTTATTGAACCACCAATCGAGAAAGTTCATATAATTAATTTGGGTCTTAGCTTGTGCTTTGTGCATTCCATATCTATTCTGTATGTTTCATTCTTGAAATTATAATATATATTTTAGTGTTACACTTTAGTTGTAATTAATATAAGAATTCGTAAAATTCTTCTTCAAGATCAATTTCCTTTCTTTCGATCACTCTAAATCCTGTTTCGTTCGATTGATCGATAATATTATAATTTTCCTCCTCATAGTGGGCGAGCTAAATTCACCAGGTCGAAGTTATTACATCGCATTAACGTCTCGATCGTGGCAACGCTTACAACTCCATAAAGTCTTGGCAAGCATCGCCGATGATACATCTTGTAATCTCTTTTCCTCGAGGAATAACGGAGTCCCTCTCGCGGCCGCAGGCCATAATCTATTTCTCCGCTGCATTTCTGCGCCACTATCCACCCTTCCTCTTTTTCCTTTTCTCCTCTCCCCGGCCGTGTTCATTTCTCAACTTCTTCCTCGCCGCGTCTTTATCCTCTCGAGGAAGGTTTATCCTCGTTAGGGTGGAAAACTGGGAAAGTGGTGGCAAGCAAAACAGTGGTTGCGTTCTTGAAGAGTAGCTAGCTTTTCAGATCACTTAGAAATATAGCTAGTTTGTTCAGCCGTTTATTTTGTCAACTTCGATCGCTTTAACTGTCTTACTTCAACGAGAACAATCGATGAGAGAATATAATTGGATAACTCTCTTGGAAATAGATAATTAAATTTTGTGCGATCGAAGAAATCTTTGAACTCGATTTTATATTCTTATCTGATTCTATATTGTTTTAGAAATTTATTTAACTTAGTAAATTCGAAATCTTTCTTCCGTGCTTCAATTTTCAATTTTCCTTATGAAAATATAACAACGTAAAATAATTTCTTTTCGTTAAACTCAACATTTCAAAATCAGTTTCCATCCAGAGTGAAACAACATGAAGTCGTGAAAGAAAATCGATATTAGAAGAATTTCTACGTATTTTTAATCCAAGTGGACCACCACCAACCCTCCACTCAGCTTCTTCTTTCTTCCAGAAGTCGAGAAGTTTTCTAGGCTTTGCAAACACCCTTCTCCTCCTCTGCTCGAGGATCAAGCGCGATTTTCGGCCACCAAAGATTGGAAATCGCACTAGCCGTTATTTCACCCCCTGGAATGGCCTCAACCCCCATTGTGCACGAAACCCTGGAACGAAAGGTGGCGTTCCTTCGTCCCTCTTGCGTCAGAGGATCGTGCTTTCCTCCCTATCCCCCCCTTCCTTTTGGAACTCGGGAATTTTCTGGGTCGAATGAACACCGGATATTACCAGCTCGACCAAACCGAAGATACTTTTCTTGTCGGCCGTATTTCGTTTTTGTTACGCGGCGGCTGACCGATGGAAATCTGAAACGGATTTAACAGGGCAGAAGGTTCTTGAATCTATCTGGGATTCATGCTGGATCGCTCGAGCGCGATATCTACAGGTTCAGTTTTCTGATTGAGCGATCGTGATAGATTTTTGGAGGGGGAGGAGGGAAAAAAAGGAAGGGTGGAATTGATATTG